CACTTAACACTAATACTGGAAACTAAATTGGTTTCCCCTTAACTAGAACAATTATAACTTGGAATGGAATCCTAAGGTGCCCTGATGCTGCTCAATCTAGAATTACTACAATTTTAATTCTCCTACTTGCTTCCCCTTTCCAGAGTGAATGCAGCTCTTGATAAGTTGTACTTCAACTTTAAAAGCAGAATTTACACATCTTTTTTTTAAACGGGGACAGGAAGATCACATTCTGGTGATATCAGATACAGTATTTTACCCACCCCCCAAATGCACTATATGTGGAGTGAATAATGTACTAGTTTTGTACATTACTGTATATTATTTGTAATATTTTAATTCAATTTTTCATAGTTAGACTCCGAAGGCTAAAACACAGCAGTAACCTCTCTATCTTAAAAACACAACTTCCCAGGGCAAACTTCAGACAGCTTAAACAGTCTACAGTATACTACCCACTATACTTAACTGGAAAGGAGGATACTCATATTTTCCTGAACACTAAACAATAAGTTTCATTAGCTTTCTCTAGAATCTCACCAGTGTTGGTTAGGGTTTGTTTTTCCTTAGCCATGTCAAACTTGTAACTCACCATCAGCCTATGATTTGGGAAATGGCATGACAACTTTACGTTGTTTACCATTCATATAAAATATTAAAAGAGGATTGTTTTGTAGCCAGGAAGTAACCTAGCACCAAAGAAATGGTGCCTTCTACTTTTATAACAAAAGAAAGAAATGAAGAAGACAAGAAAACGCCAACATGGTAAGAATAGGAAATACATCTGGCATTTGTGCTTGGCAAAAAATATTAATTTTTGGATCTAGTAAAGGACCCAACTATTTACAAAGCATGCTTTCACTAAGGGAGGACTCTCTTCTTGTTTTAAAATTTAAAAGAAATAAGGAAATAGACCAACTCCTTAGAAACGAACATGACTTGTAATAAAACAATGATATAAGTTAGCGTTTCATTGAATGAACTTTCATCAAATGGATTTTACAAATTTTCATAACACCAAGACATACCCAAACAAGCTAAAACAATGCCCCCATAGCAGGGATGAGAAATGAATTGGCCTACTAGTTTTAAAACCATATCTGTAAGAATAAATACTTTGGTTATGGTTTTAAAATGGGATAGAAATGATAGGTTTATCCACGATTGCTCTCTAAAAATAAGATTAACTGAATCAAAAGCAAATTGCTCTAAATTCTAGTAAGTGCACTATTTTACTAAGTTATGTACTGCAATTAAGATCAAGCAACTGAGAAAATACAGTAGTCTCTCCTCCATACCATAGGAGTGATGTCCTCTTGTCCCCTTTTTCATTCTCTCGTGCACAATTAACAAGTTACCAATGAAAGAGCAGCACATACTGTAATCTAATGATGTGATATTGGAAACTGAGATCTGAATCTTCCATCTATTCTTAAAGAAATCAGCAGTACCGATGGAAGGACCCTGAACTGTATGGGACTATCACACTTTCCCAATTAAAATCATTCTCCAGTCCCATTACTATTTATTCTATGATGAAAAACATGTAGATTAAGAGGTTAAAAATATGCATTATTTTTACAGTTAGGAGACATGAATAAATTATTAAAATTTTATGATGGAAAGATTTTCTACACATTTTACATATTTTCTTAGCAAAGACCCACAATTTTTAATACTACTGCTCCTGTTATTGTATTGCTTAAGATGTTATTTTTGATTCAGACATGGATAGATAACACTGCCACTTTTGGAATTGGGCTTTATGCCACCTTGGCAACATGTGTTCCCAAACCCATACAGTATATCATGTTTTTTCCCCTTAATAATCTGATGATTGACTTTGATATATAGTCAAATAGTCCAAGTATTGTTCACAGATGGGTCAGTGAAAAGGAGAAAGGTGAGTTTAACCTATCCTGCATCATTGATTTTCCAGGTCTGTCCCAAAGTTGTTTTTCCCTTCTCCACTACAGTTGAACTTGCTTCTAGTCCAGTAACAGGAAAAATGCATACATACATACATACATACATACATACATACATACATACATACATACATACATACATTCATTCATACATACATACATACATACATACATACATACATACATACATACATTTATATAACAGGCAATCAAGGGAGGGATGATAGTAATTTCCCACACTGACTTTTCTCTACAAATATCCAACATCTCATTCTTGCATTTGCCATAAGAATTTCCTTGAGGATCTTTCTTAAAATAGAAAGCTCAAATAATAAATGAAATATTATGGAAAGCACAGAATTAGGAACTGTTGGCATGCAATCAGCAAAAAATCTGTCTGATTTACTGCCTATGCTACGTATTGCTATCTTTATTTAAGACCTGTACAGTAATAAAAGTAGGATAAAAAAGGCAGTACAATGGAGCAGGCACCATTCAGAACTTGGGATTCTAAGGCTAAACACAGAATCAATTGTTTAAAGTTTGGTAGGTTGTAAAATCTAGCTCAGTGATGGCGAACCTTTTAGAGACTGAGTGCCCAAACTGCAACCCCAAACCCACTTATGCATCGTCGGGTGCCGGGTGGGTGTGGCCCATTGGGTGGGTATGGCCCATTGGGTGGGCGTGGCTGTGGTGGTAACAGCAGATTGGGTGGGACTAAAAAGTTCAATCAATCAATTCCAACTTTGCAAGATCTTTTTTTTTTCTCGCGAGAAGTTGAAATTGACTGATTGATTGAACCTTTTTTTTTTTTTGTACACGGCGGCGGAGGCGTAAAGCGAAAAGGTTTTATAAAACTCAGCTGAGGGCCTAGGACTGGGGCAATGGCGCGTGTGCCCACAGAGAGGGCTCTGAGTGCCGCCTCTGGCACCCGTGCCATAGGTTCGCCACCACTGATCTAGCTTATTCCACCGGTAAAAGGGATTTTAGCAGAAGTTCTATTTTCCATATTTAGTGGCATGAATTGAATTTCCTGTTCCACCATACCTTTTCTCAGTCTTTCACTTAAAAGATTAAATACTTTGCAGTGTTAAGAGAATCTTGACTTGCAAAATACTGTAATATCATGCATGTTAATAATTCCAGCAAATATTCATAACCCACCCGCATCTTGTTATGGCTTATGATATCTGCATACAGAAATTTAAAACTGGAAGAAAACAAACTCTTATACAAACTATTGATCTGTAAATAGCTTTAGGCTTAGGTGGCCTTCCTGGGCTTTTCATTGGAGTAGAGTAGAGTGAAGCCTATACAATCCAACTGTGAATACACACATATATACTTCCTTGAAAATGCAAGGAATTCAATTGCTTAAGGATCACATTACATTTTAAAATGATTTGCCAGCTTATTTGCCAATATCTGGGAAAAACTACTTAATCATTAAAACATAAATGATTAATTGTCAGAGGTCATTTATTTTATTCACCTCATGAGTTTACCCAACTTTCCATATTTGACTTGAAGTATGGAATGAAAATCTCTTTCAGATGATTTATCTGAATTTTAGAAAGCATGATAAGATCTACTTTATGTGTGATGCCTTGTGAGTAAAATTGCCACAAATCAATACGTACATATTCTGATATGAAAGGGGAATTCTCTGTGTTTAAAATGGATTGGTGTGAATCTGGCTGGGAAGGTAATGGGGGCCTAGTTTTGTTGTAACTTTAATTAGAGTGAGAAAGGAAAAGGAAAAGCACTTGAAGAAAAGGAATACAGGAATGTTGTTTTTTACTTGCCAGGCCTGGAAGTGCCCTGAGCTGTGCAGAATAGATGATATGAGTGTGCCAGTAATGCCATCCGCAGGCGCTGAGATGAACCTCCTGACATTGTCCAGAGGCTGCAGGACACACACTGGGTGGGCATACTCTAAAAAAGGAGAAAAGACTCCTGACAATATTATTAGACTGAAGCTATAGAAACACAGACTGTTGGGGACACATAAGGTGGCCAGAAGGTAGACAACTGGGTTTAACAGAAGAGTCTTGTCATTGTTGAAGAAAAAGTGTCACAAAGATGGAAGTGGCATCCAGGAAAACTGGATTATTGTTGGACCCTTGACCTCTTAAAAGAAAAAGAAGCGAGAAATACTACAGAAGCAACAGAAGGAGGAAAGGAAGTTTGGGGTAGATCCTTTTTAGTACAACAAAGATAAATCTAGAAATATTCTGCAGCCATCCAATTTGGATTTCAAAGTCTAAAGCAAATTAGATATAGGGCTCAAAATAAACCAGGTATTTCTGTTTCAATTGCAAGAAAACAAAACTAAAAGAGAGCTGGAAAAAACAAATAAAAATTAAATACAGTAGGGACGTGTGGTCATCTACACACTCACACAGTAAAGTCAAGCTGAAAAAAAGAGGCCATGAAAACAAAAGAAAGGGGTTCCAAACTATCCCTTCCACACGTAACTCTCCCCTGAGAAACTTGTTCCTGTGTGGGACAGCAGGCATTGAAAATTCATTTATTGCTCTAAAGCTGCCACACTATTTGTTCAGGAGTGCCTATCTGAACGTTTGCAGTTTACAAGCCCCGGGCATGCTGATATATTAAATTGATCCTACAAAAGAAATTAGGAAGGAGAGGGGAATCAAGCAAAGAAACAAAATTCTGACCCCAAAATAAATGTTCCTCAATTTGCCTTCTAATTAATAAAACCCTTTTCTCTTTGCCGATTGACATTTACCTAAATAATCTTTGTGCACCTCCGCCCACCCACCCCCCAACCCTCAGCTTTCAGCAAAAGAGATTTTCTTTACCATAAGAAGTTACAGGCATCACAGGTAGAAAAGAACCAGGAAATCAAGAAAGACTACCCGACAGAAGGACTTTTTCAAATAATTGAGTATGATGGACTTACCCTAGTGCACATTTTAAGTTAGCAGTTTGCTAATTAGGGCTGAAATTAAAGATATAGAGAAAAACAAAATTTTGGAGAAAAAAAACTGCCTATAAAATTAAATATAAAAGCCAAAAATAGTGAGCAGTGTTATTTATAGGACCTACCAGGAGTGTGAACAAAATACGCCAAGTAAAGATCCAGTTCTTTAATTGTGACTCCAATGTGGTGTGGCTGGACGCAAAGGCCCGGGTTTGAGCACTGCGGCGACTTGTATAGCCGCTCCCCATCAGTACTTTCAAGGGGGATCCCTTTGAACAAGATGACCATAACTAGGTCCAGCCTCCAAACCTTGTCAGCCTGCCTCAGGCAGTCAATCCTGCGAATTTTGCCTTTCTGATCTGGATTGGAGAGGACACAACATGGTGCTTTCTTGCCCGTGATGGTCAAGACAAAGTCCTCACGAAACTCTGGGCGGATATCCTTGCGTAGCTTGGCCAGGAGTCGGGATGCCCATTTCTGCTTGATCTCAGGCTTTTCACCAAGTAATTCATCCTTCACAGCTCGTTCCTCATCCTTTGACATTCGCTTCTCGTGCTTCTTAAAGTACTTTCGCTTCCGAGCTTGCAGGTTGAACCATGTGTAGGAAAAGGCACGGACATGAGGAAGGAGAGCTTCAATGAAGGGGTGGAATTCATCCTGGGGAGATCAGGGGGAGAAGAAAGGATGCAAAACAAAGAAAGGAAAAATCCATTAGAATAAGAAAATCAGGAGGGGGAAGCATCGCAACGTGAAATTTATAGGAGGGGGGGGAGAAAAACAGCAAAGTGAGAGCACATAAAGCCAAACTCAGAATATGATTAATCCAGCCAACAAATAAACACAATACTAGAAGAAGGATGACAAGCAGCAATTTGAGGAGGGGGGAGGGAGAGAAAACAGTAAAATTAACATTGTTTCGGCAATGCATTAGTATGGAAATCTAAAAAAAAAACAATCAGCATAAAGTTGTGGAAGTAAAATTTCACTTCCTTTAAAAATAAAAGTATTGAAGTTTGTTCAGCAATGTAGGAATTAAAGACAAAATCAGTTCTGATCCCCTGTCCTAAACCCAAAGCTCTAAATATTCTTTATAAATTGAAATAATTTTAGTGGGCCTTCTAACTTTATTTTAAAAATAAAAATTTCCCTACAACAAAAGCATCCAGGAAAAAAAAAATAGTCAAAAATGGAAATAGTTACCATTGCTCTGTCTCATCCCGGCGAAGCTAAGCCCCCGATTCAGAAATTCTGGGCTCAGAATTGCAGAGAATAGAAGGCAGACGATATTGTGGGTATACGGGTGGGGGGTGGGGGGTGGAAGGTGAGGAATGGAGAAAAAGGAGGAAAGTAAAACTGTACGAAGGAAGTGCACACAAGAGTGCTCGATATTTCTTAAATTAAATAGAAAATAATTGTTGGCTGCATTCTTCACTACAAACTGTTCACCAAAATGTTCAAGTCTTGTTTAATAAAAAGAGAGGGAAAGCAAAAAGGAAGGATTGAAAACTGAAAGAAGGCAGCTAGGAAGGGAAACCTCAGCCGAAGACAGAAATAAATCAGCATCACTCTGCCTGTGCCACATAATAGGTTAAAAATGCCAAATGGCTGTTAAAAAAAACTAGCAACAATAACAGCAATAATAGTGATAAAGGGAAGAAAGGAAACAAAATTTAAAAATAGGAAGGACAACAGCAAATAATCAGACAGGGGAAGCTGAGACCAGGGAAGAATCTCTCTCAGCGTTGGCAGAAATGCAAAGATGCAACTTAGATGTGGCTTCCTCCGCCTGAGAATAGGGGTGATCGCAGGTCTAGGGGAAAAGGGGCAGACTCCGCTCTGGGATCAGCTGTGATCGGCTGCTGGCAAAACCCAACTGCTGGGGTATGGGGGATTTTGTTGTTGTTGTTTTCCCCCCTTTTTTCCTTTCCCTTTTTCCTCCTAAACTCTCTGGCTTGCTTGCTTTCTCCTTTCATGCTCGGTCCCCAACCATTTGCCTTTGCCAATGCCAGCAGAAAAAAAGAGAGAGGGAGAGAGAGAGAAGAAGGATCCACCTATTTGGCAAGAAGACCTATCGTGGAGCAGCCAATGGCTGCATCAAAGGAAAAGGGAGGTGGAGGGGGAGGTTGGCAGAGAAGGAATCAGGGAGGGGGTGGCAGAGAGAGACAGAGAGAGAAAGAGACTGTGCAGTTAAGAGACTGAAAACAATTTGCCAAATTGACAAGTTCGTATCTAACAAGCAAAGTCCAGCAGCAATGGCATTTTTATTGGCCCGCAGATTTTGGCTAGAATACAACTAGCAAAATATTTTAAATAAATAAATCTCCTAGAATACATCCCAAACCCAACCCCCCCCCCCAAGACAGCCCCACAGACCTCAGAAAAAGCAGCTGTTCTGTCTTTCTCTCTCCATCTTATTCTCCTTCTGGCACCTCTTGGCCCAACCATTTCTAGGAAAAGATCTATTCAACTATAATACTCTTTAAGATTCGATCAGATTTAGCTTACTTTTTTCTTAGTTCAAGCAGTGATGGAAATTCATTATCCCCTGCCCCAATACATTTCTTTGTAACTTTCTGTTATCTACCTCAGACTTCAGGCAGTCAGTCTGTCCTGTTTCTAGCAAAATATGAGTTTTCTGCACATTTCCCCTTCCTTCTGCCACTTCATCTCAACATTTGCCAAGAACTTCAGTCTTTAGTGTTGACCATCAATCATTCAATTTGTGATTTACTTAAATGGACCAGGGTTCCAGATAAAATTATTTATGTCTTCTAACCATAAATCAATAAATCAAACATGACAAAACTTGACCATATTGCAAAGTTGAAACTATCCTGAAACTTTTTCAAGGGCAGCTATTTTATTTTATCGCAACACACTTTTTGTTACCTGACTTTTGATTATGTTGCAAGTTTAAAACAAAGAGCATCAGAAAAGCTGATTAAAAATAGTATTAATTAATTTCAGATAGAGAACTTTAGGGAAAAAAATAGTACAAAGAAAGACAACAAAAATAAAATGTGTAATACTTTGTAATATACACAAATATAATATATACACACACACACACACACACATATATATATATATATACATATATATATATATATATACACACACACACATATATATAATATAATGTGTAAGATTGAGATAAACAAATGGAAGAGGAAATCAAAAAGATAAAATAGAGAGCTTTAAAGAGGATAATAAATATGAGCAGGAAAGTCAATAATAATGTTTATGATTATTAATAATCATCCTACAATGATATCTTTAACACCATCAAACAACATCTGCCTATCCCATTTCTTTAGGAAGGACTCAATAGGTGAATAAAAATGCCAAATCCAGTCTAAACACTTGACTGACTATGCAACAAATAATAATAATAATACCAGCATCTTCAAGACTACTACCGGTAGTAAATTTACTAGTATATTTACTAGTATAATTACTGTCATAAATATACAAAGATTGAAAACAAAGAAATAATGACTTATTATAAATTAATTGCAAATGGCAGCTATACTTAAAACAGCTTACAGTCTGCAACGATGCCTTTAATAATATTAAACAACAACATCTGCCTATCTTTGGAAAACATTTGATAGGTGGACAAAAATGCCAAAGCCATATAAACATCAGACCAACTATAATAATAATCAGTCTTCCAAAGCTTTTGCTTCAGTATGGGAGCATTTAAGAGAGACCTGGGAAATCACTCTTACTTTATTATAACTGAATCTTGTTTGCTTTTTCTTTGGCTTAGCCCAGGGGTAGGCAACCTTGGCTCTTTTATGACTCGTGGAGTTCAATTCATAAAAGAGCCAAGGTTGCCTACCCCTGGCTTAGCCCATCCATTCTCTTAGCACCTTATCAACTTTTCATAGGGCAATAATAACAGAGAAGCTCAATTTTGCAAACAATAATTTACAATTTACAATTCAGGGCACTATTTATACTGACCCAAAGGGCAATATATATTCCTCTTTGCATTGCTATACTTGAGTTTTTCTAGTCTTGGCTGCACCTGTGTGAGTGCAGACCCTGACATACCAAACACACTAGTGAGAGGCATGAAAGTCAGACTTATGCTGAGCCTTTTCTAATGCCCACTGTCAGTTCCAGGCCTTGTTGCCAGGTTTTCAGCAGCCAAGTAGACGGCCAAATGAGAGCTCCAGATTTACATTTGCAAATCGTAAGTGAAGGTTTGCCCTGCTCAACTTAAATTGGGGAGGGAGGGGGACAAATGGTTGCTTCTGTCCACCCACAAATCTGGCATTAGCCAGTCCATTGAAGCAAGGTACAGGGCCCTCCAACCTCTTCCCACATATAAACAGATTGCTTGCTTGAGAAAAGTATAAGCTGCTCCACACCTCTTTGTGACCCTAGTGACAAAATATCAAAGGACTGTGACCAAATACCTAAACCTGCCCCTTCTGCTCAATCACACAAATTATAGGTGAGCAGGCAGACAGGCAGGCAGGCAGACAGTTGAGGTGTAAAAGTTCTCTCCAGGCACAAAAGCTTGGAGATTAATTTTCTACATCTGTATCATGAGGGGGTGTATGTGCAAGCTGAAGCATAAGAAAGTAGAATAAAGAAGATAAAAGAAAAATGAACTCCTGCCCTTTCCTCTCTCTCCTCAATAGCCATCCCCCCCCAAGATTTTCAAAATAAGTTGGTGAAATTTAAAACTTCTTTGACTCTCACTTCATCATTACTTGGGAACACAAAGACTCCCAACTTCTTACATGCACAGAATGCTTCCTTAAAGTAGTATATTTCTTTTAACTTCTAAGCAACTAATACATTTTTTTCTTAGCATAAGATTTGATATGGAACTGAAATATGCTATTCCTCCCTGTAAAAAAGGCACTGCACAAAATTAGATTTTAAAACAAACTTTAGGGATCGAGATGCTGCAAATAAGTATAAATACCTTTCTTCCCCTTATAAAAGGAGTACCAATATCCATGTTTTATTCAATTTTTGGCCATGTACAAGTACAAACAACCCCAGATTTGAATTCAGTGCTGACGTCCTTTCCAATATTTTTTACCTCGATGTAATCAACCACCTGAACTGATTGTAAGATCTGACTAGCCCTAACAATACCAGTCTATAATATGATACTCGGTCACAGCTAAAATTCTGATGCACTCTTTTTACTTTTCTGATACATTAAATCAAGCACAAGTGTGATTTAATCATTATCTTGCATCAGTAGCAAACTTCTATGGGATTTACAGAGATAAAGATGGATATGGAATTCCACATTGGACAGGTAACCCATAACGTTTCATTCAGCATTTTTATTTATTTTAAAAGAGAGAGATAAAGGTGAACCTTTTATTTTAGTACTACATCCAGGTTAGTACTAAACAGAAACAGAGGCTGCAAATGAAACAATGGAAACATCGTCAAGCATCGGCACCCACTGTTGGTGATTACAAAGGAAGCTGTTGACTGTTCAAACTAGAAAACATTTACTATTATTTAGGGATTTTGCCACAGAATTTTTTGATAATGCATACTTTGGTCCAGCCATATTAGAGAAATAACCTAATATCACAAAAACCTTACAATGGAATTAATCTGCCACATATAGTTTCTATATAACGTCTGTTCTAATCAGTGAAGTTCCTTGTATC